AAAAAAAAAAAAGAAGAATTCTGATCAAAGAGGGGAGGATAGAGAACAGAATTTCAGATTATCATGGGCTTGTGTTGTGGTGGAGAAGAGTACTGAATATCCCATGGACTGCCAAATGAATGAACAAATATGTCTTGAAAAGAGCACATCTAGAGTGCTCCTAGTAGGCAAATGTGGCAAAATCTTCATCTTTCATACTTGGGACATGTAGCTAGGCAAGGCTATTCCTCGGAAAAGAACATTATGCTTGGAAAGATGAAGGGTCTGTGAAGGAGAGGAAGAACTCTAATGAGACAGAATGACATGGTGACTTCAGCAATAAGCTCTAGTGTGTCAGAGATGATGAGGATGGTACAGGATGCAGGTTGGCTGTTCAAAGAGTCACTAGGGGTTGTACTTGACTCAGTGGCACCTAACAGCAAAAACTAGACTTTCTGGGGTCATGCAGAGTGGATAAATATCTAAAACTACTGGTATGAGGTCGTCTTTAAAATTTATATTCAAAAGATCCCTCGAAGTAATCTTTAAACCAAGCAGTAGTTTAGCTTAACTAGTTTTAAAAAACCCTGTGTGAGTCATAACAAATTATGTTAAGAAGAATGGGAATCTCAGAACACTCAATTGTACTCATAAGAAACCTACATATAAACCAAGAAAGAGTGGCTTGAACAGAACAAGGGAACGTCACATAGTTTGAAATCACAAAAGGTGAGCATTAGGGTTGTATCTTTACTCCTTACCTATTCAGTCTGTATGCTGAGTAAATCATTAGAGAAGATGAATTACATAAAGAAGAATATGGCTACAGGATAGGTGGAAAACTCACCAACAGTCTGAGTTATTCAGGTGGCATAACGTGGTCACAGAAAATAAAGACGATTTGAAATACTTATTGCTGAAGTTCAAAGTATGGGTTATATCTCCATATCAAGAAAAGAAAAACTCTCACCACTGGACCAATAGGAAATGCTATGACAGATGGGGGAAAGATTGACATTGTCAACGATTCATTTTACTTAGATCCACAGTTAACACCCATAGTAGCATCAATCGAGAAATCAAAAGATGTATGGCAGTGGCAAAATGTTGCTGTTTAGGACCTCTCTGAAGTTCTAAGGAGCAAGGATGCCAGTTTAAAGACGGGGGTGCACCTGATTCAAGCCTTAATATTTTCATTTGCTTGTTATGCATCTGAAAGTTGGACAATTAATAAGTATGACAGAAGAAGAATTGATGCCTTTGAATTGAGGTGTTGGCAAAGAGTATTGACTATCCCACAGACTGTTCAAAGAGCAAATAAATCTACCTTGAATAAAATGCAACCAGAGTGCTCCTTAGAGGCAAGGATAGTGGAACTTCATCTCACTTACTTTGGGCATATTTTCAGGAGGAACAAGTCCTTGGAGAGAGAGAGATCATGCTGGGAAACAGAAGATAAGCAAAATTCTCTACAAGATGGATTTTGACACAGTACCAACCACAAGGGACTGGAGCATGACAGAGATCATAAGAAGGCACAACATAGGGCATGGTTCAGATCTCTTGTTCCTGAAGTCAACTTGATGGCACCTAATAATACCACTTTAGGCCTCCCTGGAATATTATGCTATTTCAAAAACTGTCTCGTATCAAATTGACAAACGCATTTCCAAAGAATAGATATGAACCTAAGAATGCATTTAGTTTTTTTAAATGAAAGAGGACAATTCAGAAAGGGAGAGTGAGAATAGTTGCACAAATTAAATATTCTCAATTCCATGAAATTATGCATATAGAAACTAGCATGCATATAAAATTAATGTATATTTTACTGTGTATATTCTCAACAACAAAGTGAAAACAATTTAAAGAAGAAAAATTCAAGGAGAGGATTTGAGCAGGGAAATTATGAATGTGTGAATGTGTGTTTTTGCCACATCACTCTGGTTTATTGAAGCCAGAGCTGCAGAAAATGGACTAGACAAAGACCAAACAATAGACTGCTGTATTAGTGGAAGCCTAAGATAATGATAGTAATGTTTGTCAGGAGGAATGATTACATAAATATTTAAGAGGTTAAATCTGCAGAACTTTATTGATTCAGTATTAGACATTATAAAGAGAGAAGAGTTGGATTGAGTTAAGAAGAGATTATAAGTAAAAATAATGAGAAAATAATAAAATCATATGGGTCGACACATGAGCATCTCTCAAGAAACCAACTGCTTCACTTGTTACAACTCCAAGACAAGATGAACAAGATTCCTATGGCCTAACCAAGAAGATGAACAAGATTCCTATGGCCTAACCAAGAAAGATACTGTTTATTAACATTTTTAAATCCATGGTAATTGGAAATGATTTTGCAAATTTTCATACATCATAGATATCCTAGCAACAGATCTGAAGTTTTGTTTCCATTTATAATTCTAAATATGTGTCTGACGCCCTTTCTAATAATGTGCTGATATAAAGTGGTTGACTTGTTTCACTGATCATTTTGCTTTGGGTCCCTTAGGACTGCAGCCCCTGTTTATAGTTGTATATCACTGTTTGATTACCTACTGCCCTTCAAAAGTATTTTCAGATCATGATCTCCAGTTTAGTTTTTATCTGATAATTCACACTGTGCCTTCATGAGCAGATGTGTGTGCAGATGCCTTTTTAAAGAAAGGCATATTTTGAGTTCTGTAACACAGTGAGTCACTTAGAAAATCGTGTCTTTTTAAATGTTTCTCATCCAAAATTATTTTTCTTGTTTGAAGAAGAAAACGCCTTGGCTCTTTATGTATTTCAATTAAACTCTGCAGTTCCAAATCAGGTCCACGGAGTGGGTGAGGGGATGCCTGGCCTAGCAGAGACCTCCAGATCCAGTTCCAGCACTACCCTTGTCATTGCTCATGCCATTTTGGCTGTTAAATATTTTTAATAACACTTTTGCTTATACACATGGCTTAAGAGCTTCTCTACTTAATAATTTTGCTTTAGCAAGCAAAAGTTTATCTTAAACCACTGTGTTGCTGAATCATTTCAGTGATAACGTTGTTGTTTTTTGGTTGGGTTTTTTTTTAAATTTTTAAAATTTTATTATTTTGAGTGTGTGTACCGTCAAATCAGATCTGACTGGTACAGGAGGAGATTGCCCCTCCTTCTCCAGCAGAGCATCTGGTGGATTTGAACCACCTACTTCTGGGATTGCAGTATAGCTTCTTGCCACTAGGCCACCAGCGCTCCCTGATAATCAAGGTTTTTTTAAGAAAAATCTACAGATATTTTCAACCAAAATAAGGTGTTATTACTAAATCATTGACCATTAATTGAAAGTAGAATAAGGTGAGTGAAATTATTTTCTTTTTTTAAGAAAAGGAAATAAATTTTAGCCAGTACAATTTTAAATCAGAGAACCAAATGGTTCTATAATGACGAAAGATTTTACTCATGTTTCTCCACCAACATCCTGAGTATGAGAAAAATTCAGATGTTTTGGTAAAGCTCTCAAGCTCATCTTTCTTCTCACTTTCTTTTTAAACTTTATACTGTATTTATTGTGTCTAGAAATCAAGCTCTGGTATAACAAATGAAACATAGTATAAATCTCTAATAAAAGCATCATTTAAGAAAAGCTTAGAAAATGGACTTAAAATGAACTCATTAAAGACATGATTATAAGCATTTTGGTTTTAGTATGTAGTGTTTTGCAGTTTCTAGAAATATCAAGCCTTTGTCGCACCTCCTAGAAAATGGTTAAAAAGGGGGGGAAAAAGAAATCTAATACAGAAAAGTCAGTGTGTTTTCTTTCTAAACAGGTCTCCTCTTCCGTACTTACATGCAGATATCGACATTTTCTTAAAATAAGGAGTTCCCTACAATTTTCTGTTTAGAAAACTTACAGTATTACCCTTTGTGCTAGCTACTGTGGTATTTTTAATATTTATCCCCTCGTCCCCACAGGTATTCTTGGCGTCACCAACTGAGGGAATTTAAAAGTGAATACCGTGTTGTAGCACTGGATTTGAGAGGCTATGGAGAAACAGATGCTCCCATTCATCAAGAGAATTATAAATTGGACTGTCTTATTACAGATATAAAGGATATTTTAGACTCTTTAGGTAGGTTTATTTATTTTTTTTAAAGTATTCTTTTTAAGGGGTTGACTTTTAACAAATTATAAATTGTCAACTTCATTTTTTGTTTTTGAGGATACGTTTTTCATAACTTCATTTTTCGTTTTTGAGGATACGTTTTTCATCTTCCTTAACTGGTGCCTGGATCCTGTCACCATGGTTTCGGGTATATAGCCAGAAATATTTCTATAGGAAGTTAAAAATAATGCTTTCAGAATCACTAGTTAGTCCATCAGCTAAGAATAAGAATGATTTTCAACACTTGTTTGTAAAAAAAAAAAAAAAGACCATCTAATAGAATAGATGGTTTATTCTTTCCAGAGTTAATTCTTGAAAATGTTATTTTGCACTCAGAAAATGGAACCCACCAGCAGCTTAATGAGAAGCAAATGGGTGCCATCCCCTCCTGTGCGATTTACAGTCTCAGAAACCCAGTGGAGGGTCGGCTGAGTCAGTTCAATCAATGCCACAGCAATGAGTTTCATGATTACATGCACTGAAACATATGTAACTGATGTGATAATTAGGACTTTAACTAATTCAGTCTAATGTCACAGTTCCACAGTCATTAAGGTTTGTTGAATTGTAGCATTGGGTTTACAAAGTTAGGGAGAAAATGGATTCTTTCTCAGAATAAAGATTTACAAGTCAGCCATAAGTGGGGCATTTATACCTTTACTGTAACCACAAAATCATCAAAATCATCTTGCTTATGACAATTATTTATACAATCCTTATTATGGTTTTCAAGCTCTAATCCTTGTCTTTTCCAAAATTTACGGGTGAAATATTCCTGAAAGATATTCTGTATGTCTAAAATGGAGCCTGAGCATATACATTTTCTAAAAAGTCCTTAGGGGAGCTCTGGTGGCCTAGTGGCAAGAAGCTGCAACTACAATCCCAGAGATGCACGGTTCGAATTCACCAGATGCTCTGCCGGGGAAGGAGGGGCAATCTCCTCCTGTACCAGTCAGAGCTGATTTGACGGTACACGCACACAAAAATAATAAAATAAAATAAAATTTTTTAAAGTCCCTTGATACTTCAGAGACAGATTTTTGAATCACTAAACTCCATCTCTGTTCAATAGGAGATGATAGTGGAAAGATACATTAGGTACAGAAGTTTAACTATTTTATGTGAAGTAATGATGCACCGACCTGTTTTCTTCCACGAATGTTAACATTTATTTCTCAATTACAGGGTATAGCAAATGTGTTCTTATTGGCCATGACTGGGGAGGCATGATTGCGTGGCTAATTGCCATCTGTTATCCAGAAATGGTGATGAAGCTTATTGTTATCAACTTTCCTCACCCAAATGTATTTACAGGTGCGTTTTCAAGTTTGCATTAAAATAACAATACTAAAGCTACAGTTGAAACCTGACACTCAACGTTTTAAAAAGAAAATTTTATTAACATAATCTTTTAAGAATTAAATTACTTGCATATTAGAGCATGACAAAGTCAGACTTCATGACTTTAAATCATCTTGAAGAGGCTAAGAATATTTGGGTGTATGTTGGCTTACAAAATTTAATCCCTTTTCAGAAACTATTTTACTTTTAAATTGAGGAGGGACAAAAGGGGGCAATGCAGTGACATTTCTCTGACATTAAACAGTCTTGAGGCTAGAAATAAATTCTCCTGCCTAACTACTTTTGTTATCAAGAATGGCAGATTATTTAACGCACCTGTTCTCAGCTATTTTGGTTTCAGAATTCCATTATGCTTTAAAAAATATTAGCTATCTCATTGTTTATATGTCTGTTGTCAATATACATTTCATTGGGCACTAAAATGGCAACATTTAAAATATATTTGTATTAAAATTGTTAATAAAATTATATCTAACAGTACTTGTTTTGGTTTTAACATGAATGATGTTTATTAAAAGAAAAAAATGTATATATAAATTCATTTAAAAAGAGTTGGAATAAATCATTACATGTTAACATAAATAACATTTTTATAAAAAGTTATGTATTCCAAAAGAAAATCTAAATTATTTTGTTTTGTATTTTAAAAATTTCTTTTAAAAAAAAGGATTTTTTAGTTAATAAAAGACAGTTGCATTCTTAACATTCAATCTGTTACAATATGTTGTTTGGCTTGAAGTGTAAGTAGTTCCCATTACAATATATTCAAGCTACAATGCAATATATTTATGACTCCATTTTTTCCTTATTTGTATATTTTTTTACTTATGTGTTAAAATGTATCTGTACGTTTATATCTACTATTTCTAATTCCCAGTTATTTACATATAAATACTTTTTATATGTAATATTTTCTAACTTTCCAAATACTCAAATCTGATTTATAAAGATACTGATAACAAAAGACAAAAATACTTAAAGCTTGGGGTGAGGGAAATTGGAAAGATCTGGTCTGAAAAACAATGTATTTTAATTTTGTCAATAAACTAGTATAAATTTTAAAAAAGTAGTTAACAACAAAAGTTTTTGACCTATGTGAGAAATGACTTAAAATGGAGCTATCAGAATGGAATCTAGTGATAAGTCTGGGCTTCCTGCATGTATTTTACCTCACTCAGATGCATATAGTTTGGAAGAGAGGGGAGTGTTTTTAATATCATTTTTAGATAACTGTGGATTTTCTAATTCTATGCTAAATTCAAATATTGGTGATTTTGTAAAGATTACATTGTGGGCTCTGAAGTTATAAAAAGGAATCTTTCATATTCTGCTACATTAAAATCTCTTGCTCTCTCTAGTGCTTAAATTTCCTTTTACTATGCATTATTTTATTTCACCCTGCACTATAAGATATTGGTTTACCATTTTATGCATATCTTTCATATAGTAACATGTTGTTATGCCGTCGAGTTGCAGGTGACTCAATAGCGACCCTATGAAGGAGAGTCCTCGACGCTTGGGTGCCTTTCATCCTCTCTCCAGGTTTATAGGGCTTCCAGAGGCAAGCTATTACGGAAGTGGGTGCCACTCCTCCTTCCAAGCTTGTTTAATCGGGGAGCTCCACCCCACTCTCAGTCCGCATTGGGTAGCCAACCATTAACGCATTTGACACATCCGTGTCACAGTGTTCAGCCTCACAGCAACCACAAGTGACCACTGTACGGCAACTTGTACACCAGGACTATACGGCCTAGAGGAATGTCTGAACAAAAACAATGAAAGACAGGCCTAAAGGCCACGGATTAAAAGTCACCCACCTTCAGCTTGGTAACATCGCTTTCTGTCCACTGGGCCAGCTGATCTCTCTCTGTGTTGTTATTATTGTTGTTAAGTGCCGTCGAGTTGCAGGCGACTCAGCGACCCTATGAAGGAGAGTCTTCAATGCTTGGGTGCCTTTCATCCTCTCTCCAGGTTCATAGGGTTTCCGGAGGCAAGCTATTATGGAAGTGGATGACACTCCCTATATAGTAACATACTTCATTTTTTTTATTTAAAAAAAATTGTAACTTGAGTGAGTTTAGTAGATTGATATTCCATTCAGCCAACCATTAATACACTTTCTATTTTATGTCATTGATTACAATCCCCACATTGTAACAGCACCCTTCCTACTTCCTCCCTGTAGATTACCCTCCCCCATTTGGTTTTTCTTTCTATTCAACCTTCTTATATTTCTTCCTTCTTGCCTTTTGACCTTTCCCCTTGACAAATTTTGTTCATTTCAGTTGGTATGGTTGATTGGCCTAAGGACTAAATACCTCATTTTCACCTTATAAACTTGTCTATTGTTGACCAGGAAGTTGTGTCTCACAGGTGAGTTCAGTCACAGGCTCAAAGAGGCAGTAAAGTTTGTTCATTTACCTCTTGATGAGAATTTAGGTTGTTTCCATTTCATTTCTTTGCAAATAACACTACCATGAACATACGTGTGCATTTTTGTTATTGTTATTGTTAGTTGCTGCTGAGTGTATAGTGACCCTATGAACAATGGATCTGAACCCCGTCCTATCCTGTGCCGTCTTCACACTTTCTGACACACTAGAGCCCACTGTGACAGTCACTGTGTCAGTCCACCTGGTTGAAGGTCTTCCTCTCCTCCACTGATCCTCGACTCTTCAAAGCCTCATGCCCCTCTCCAAGGAAGAGACTTCCTAGCAACATGCCCAAAGTATGTAAGGCAAAGCCTCATCATCCTTGCCTATTAAGACCACTCCAGCTACACTCTCTCCAAGAAATATTTATTTGTTCTTTTGGCAGTCCATGGGACATTCAGCGCTCTTTTCCAATACTTACACTCAAAGGCATCAATTCTTCTGTCATCCCTAATTCATTGTCCAGCAATGACCAGAAAGTCATTGCATAGCAAGTGATCAGAAAAACCATGACTTGAATCAGATGCACCTTAGTCCTCAAACTGACATTATTCTTCAATAATTTGGAGAGGTTCCTAACTGCAGAATTTCCCAATGTAACACATATCCTGATTTTTTTTTTCAGGTAGTGTTTTGGTTTATTATCTTAGTGTCACAGTGACAAGAATCCTCAGAGTGAGAAAAAAACCTGCTAGAAACTCTTTGCCAAACACTCTTCTTGGGATGCAGAGCCTCTGGGCCTTCTCCTACTATTTCTAGGCCTTTCTTTGGTCCTTTGCATGCTAGAATGTGGTTGGGGATTCAGGACTGACCCTTTTCCACCACTAGCTTTATGCTGCATTCATGGAAGATAAGGGCTGTCTGTATACAGATAACCAACTTGGTTACCAACATTACCAGTTTCCACAGGGTTCTACCTCACAGCTATCTGGTAAATCAGTGGTACTTCACTGCTCCAGAGTGGCTGGCCACACTTCAGGATTTCTGACCAAATGCAACATGACGGCCATCGTTCGGGAGGTTACCTACATCTGGTACGGCCACCATGACTTTTGTAAACCAATAGGGCTTCCTTTTCAGAACAATGCCCGGGCAATCTTTCTCCCTGTAGCCTTGATCCTGGGAAAGGAACCCCCGCACCCCTCACTCGGGGGAGTTCCTGAGGCAGAAGGGCCACTGGCAAGTCCCACTGTGGCAGCAGAGGGTCTTCGCCGCTGTCGTAGGAGGAAATCATGTGATACTCCATCCATAGCATAGAAGACGTTAGCCGAGGGTGGAATGGTCAGCTCTCTCTCCCCTGGTAGCAGCTGCACAAGCTCATACTCTGAAGCCACTGCAGAATCTCGATTGTTTTTCTTAAGGACACGACTGATCACACTTGGAGCCTTGTCTTGGCTGGTGACCTAGCAGCACCAGAGACCAAAAGAACAATAAATAACTCCATGAAGACCTCCATTCCCCAATCTTCCAACCCCAACCAAAAAGCGCTCCCTCTAATTATTTAAAAGGGAAAAGGCCATCCAGTAGGGTGGCTCATGTGCTCCACTAACCAGCCTGCCCAGTACCCAGCTGAACAGGGCTGCTTTCCTGTGGGGAAACTGTTTTAGGGTTCTCTAAGTCTAATATGGTCACCAAAAGTTCAAGGTGCAAAAAAAACCCTATCAAAATAAAACATAGTTTCCAGAGTCAGGATGATTCCTGTTTCGATATCCTGATTTCTTGACTGCTAGTACCAAAGGTGTTAATTTTGGATTTAAGTAAGATGAAGTTGTTGACAGTTTCAGCCTCTTCTCCATCCATCATGATATTGTCTATCAGTCCAGTGGTAAGAATCTTTATTTTTTTGACACTGAGATGCAATCCATAATGAAAGCTGCATTCTTTGATATTCTGCAACAAGTGCTTCAACTCTTCTTCACTTTCAGAAATATCATTAATATCACATGCAAGAAAAATACTGCTGAAGATCATTCCAAAAGGCTCATAGATAGGAAATTGCTAGAAGTTCAAGCAGGATTTAGAAGAGGCCATAGTACCTAGGATATCATTGCTGATGTCAGATGGATCCTGACTGAAAGAAAAGAATACCAGAGGAATGTCTGTTTGTGCATTATTGACTATGCAAAGGCATTTGACTGTGTGGATCATCACAAGTTGTGGCTGACATTGAGAAGAATAGGAATCCCAGAGTAGTTAATTGTGCTCATACAAAACCTATACCTGGACCAGGAGTCTGTTATGCAACCAGAGCAGGGAAATAGCAGGTTTAAAATTGAGAAGGGAATGTGTCAGGGTTGCATTCTCTTTCTGAACATATTCAATCTGTATGCTGAGCAAATTATTTGAGAAGCTGGAGTCTCTGAAGAGAAATGTGGCATCAGGAGCAGAGGGAGACTCATCAATAACATGCATTATGCAAATGGGTGTGTATACGTCTATTTATGTCCCAGCTCTTACTTTTTTGAGGTATATATCTAGTCATGATATTGCTGGGCCAAAAAGAATTTATAGTTCTAATTT